ATGAGATGGTGTCCTCCACCAGAGGGCAACAGGCTACCTGAAAAGCTGTGCAGACACAGCTCTGCTCTCAAACACCTTAATGCCACTACCAGTTCTGCAGGTTCTGCTGCCTGAGGCAGCCACCTCTCTTTGCTTAAAGGTAGGGCCGGTCCTGGTGCCCATGAAAGCCCAGACCATTCTATTCTGGCAAGCTTCTTTCGGAGATACAGTACATTTCATTGACACTGTTCAGTTCTGCTGCCATTTTATTGTGGCTGTATTGTCATTTTAATGGGTTTTGATGTCCCTCCTGTTGTTTTTATTGTTAGCCTTGTTAGCAGTCTTGGAAGGAAAGAAATTACAGGACAATCCTATACCTGTGTATAAGCCTCACTGAGTTCAGTGGTACTGACTCCCAGGTAAGTGTATATTAGATTGCAGCCTTAATAATATAAACAAACACCCAGTGATGTTTACTTCCACAGTTGCAAAGGCTCCTTCCCTGCAGATGTTTGTGCTCTGTGCATGTCTGTCAGCTATGGGGCCAGATGGCATGTCCTGTGACAGAATGCATGAACCATTATTTTGAATAAGGCAATGGTTTGGTGTGTGAGTCCCAGACAACAATGGGCTTTTGAGTTCAGAACCACCACCTTGAATTCAATTCCATTTCATTTTTTCATTTGTGTACCACCTTTCTACATTGCTGTCCCCAAGGCAGCTTACAAACCATAGAAACAACAAAATATACAACCAAGGTCATGCATTCCTATAACAACCCGATCCAATGCAAACAAGTCATCGTGAAAAATGTGGCTACGAGAATAAACAGCTTAAATCGTAATATTCAATATTTTAGTATAATGCTACATGATAAAACCAACTCTTAAAATAAGCAAACGCTAAATTAACAAACAAAAAAATCACTCCAAACCAGTAGATTCTAATGAATTAAATTAAAAGTGAAGTCACAATACATACAACACAACATACCATGTAAAGAAAGATCAATGGAGCAGCAAAGGCACACAGGTTATAAAATTACAAAATGTACACACATAGCTGGTCGCCTGGTCCCTGAAGCCAAGTGTTAGCAAGTACAGCACACATGGGGGGGGGGGGCAGTGACCTTCCATAACTTGATGGACTCCATCTCCCACCAGCCCCAGTCACAATGGCCAATAGTCAGGGATGGCAGGAGTTTTGGTCCAGTGGCATCTGGAGTGCCCCAGGTTCACCATCTCTGTAGTACAGCTTCCCTGGAACAATTTGAGTCTGCCTCCAGCCACTTGCCATGCAGCAGGAACAGGCAATGGTATTCCAACTATTTGAAACTTCTATCACACATATCATGAATTTATAGCAGTCAGCCCTGGGAAGTTAGAACTGTGTGTGTCAATGGGGCAGCATCTCTCTCCTTCAGAAACGGTGCCACCTACATAGCAGGTGAAGTTGATAGAGGGATGTACAACCTTTACTACTGAAATATACTCGGAGTCGAGAGTGGATTTCATGCTCTTTATTCAGCTCATAGTGGTGAGGAGGAATGGAAGTTCCCCCAGAATGTCTGCTTTTTATACATTATTTACACAATGGCCCCCACGTGATTGGCTAATTCCGGGATTCACCTGTAGGCCAATCAGGTTGCGGATTTACTTCCACCTGGAGCTGGATTCGGTGGCTCCTGTGGACCAATCAGACTGCTGCATTCTGAATCCTATTGTTCTAGGACCAATCAGACTGCTGCCTTTTGGCTCCTATTCAACTCAGTACATAACAACTACCAACAAAGCCTGTTGATCAAAAAGCAGGATGGAATTCACACCCTCTCCTAGGCTGCTCACTTCCTGGGATGAATGCTGTCATCTATCACAGGAATGACTAGCTCATCCAGGCCATTGGGATTCCCTACTGGCACCATTTGTATCTTGTCTGTCTTTCTTTCTTTCTTTCTTTCTTTCTTTCTTTCTTTCTTTCTTTCTTTCTTTCTTTCTTTCTTTCCCCCAAGGAGCTTAGGATGCATGGTTTTCTCCCCCTTCCTCACTACAATTCTGGGAGGTATGCTAGGCTGAAAGAGCTTGGCTATTGTAAAGTTTCCCAGGGATTTGAATTTGAGTCTCCCCACAGGGATGCGGGTGGCGCTGTGGGTTAAACCACAGAGCCTAGGACTTGCCGATCAGAAGGTCAGCAGTTCAAATCCCTGTGACGGGGTGAGCTCCTGTTGCTCGGTCCCTGCTCCTGCCAACCTAGCAGTTCGAAAGCATGTCAAAGTGCAAGTAAATAAATAGGTACCGCTCCGGTGGGAAGGCAAATGGCGTTTCCGTGCGCTGCTCTGGTTCGCCAGAAGCGGCTTAGAAGAAGAAGAAGAAGAGTTTGGATTTGATATCCCGCCTTTCACTCCCTTTAAGGAGTCTCAAAGCGGCTAACATTCTCCTTTCCCTTCCTCCCCCACAACAAACACTCTGTGAGGTGAGTGGGGCTGAGAGACTTCAAAGAAGTGTGACTGGCCCAAGGTCACCCAGCAGCTGCATGTGGAGGAGCGGAGACGCGAACCCGGTTCCCCAGATTACGAGACTACCGCTCTTAACCACTACACCACACTGGCTTAGTCATGCTGGCCACATGACCCGGAAGCTGAATGCCGGCTCCCTCGGCCAATAGAGCGAGATGAACGCCGCAACCCCAGAGTCGTCCGTGACTGGACCTAATGGTCAGGGGTCCCTTTACCTTTCACCCTTGTCCAGCACTCTGACGACTACACCACTCTGTCTCTTTAGCACCAGACTGTCTTTAAGGTAAAACATAGCTTGTTGTGTTGTTGCTGGAGAAACTCCAGTTTCTGACTTTAGCAACTCAGGTTTTGCCTGATGTTCCTGAGCATCATTGAGCTGAGAGAAATCTATGCCATTCCACAAACCTATTGTTATTTTGCTTCATTGTTTCCTCTTTTTAGAGGTTTAGTTGCCCCTTTTGTCTTCCCTTTAATATACATTAATCTGAGTATCTTGAAATGTAACAGCATCAATGAAAACACAAATAAAATATTCCCGGAATTTATTCCTTCATCACTTTCCCTGACTAGCCTGAGTTCAGGATTCTGGGTTGCCTTGGCAACAGCTGATGACATCAAACACTGTACAATATGGACAGGAAAGGAGAAATCACAAACAGAGATGGAAAATTACTAGCTAGCAACTTTTAAAGGGTTTACAGAGAGGCCGGAAAAGAGCAGATAAACAACTCCAGAACCAGCCAATGTTTAAGAGATCCAGAATTTCACCAAAACACATGCAGGAAAGAGACAACTGAGCTGCAAAATTTTAGTTTGTCATCCAATTCCTTTATCTTTTTTTCTGTTTCTTAGTCGTGCACTACGTGCTGTGTTTTCCTTCAGCACTTGCTGAGACATCCTGTGGGTTTGCAGAGGCAGGATCAACGTTCGATGGCTGCAATAACAAGCAGTGGTTTGCATTGTTCAAAGAGCTCATTGCAGCCTCTGTGGCGCAGGTATTCTGCTAAAGGTTCCCGCAACCATGAAAGTGCAACTAGGTAGCCCCAAGTCCCTTTAAGTGCGTGTTGTGGCAACTGGAGCCCTACCAGTTTTAGTCTTATTGGCTTCCCTTTGAAAAGAATTTGAGGATGGTGAGCTCAGACCAAGGGATGTACCTTATAGTTTAGATTACACAAATATGGAATGGTAAGACACTGCCTGGACTATGTCATTTCATGCTGAATAGGGATGGACAAATCTGACAAATTGGGTTTCAATTTCTCATTTTTTTCCAGTCTTAAATTCAGTTCCCCACATCTCTGCAACAATCTTCACTTTTTATATATTAAAAAACGATCCTCCTGGAATTTCATCAGCATTTTAGGGAGCATTTCTCCTAAGTAGCACATTCTTGCAAAATGATTTCACCCACCATTACTGTATGCATTGTTCTGTGTAATTTTCCCCAATATATGGTATTTTTTGCACCCATCCTTCAGCTGGAGAAGTGCAATGCAAAATGCAGAGAAGTACAAATTTCGAAGGATAATTGGGTTTTGGTTTGTGCACAGTGTGAATGAGATAGTTTCACATCAAAATGCTAAGAAAACTCCCCTAACACACACAAATAGTTCATCAGCAAAAGGGTTCTCTGGTATGTAGCCTATGGTATTCTGTTTGTTCTTAATATGGAAGAGCATCCAATCATTTGAATATACACCCAGCCAATGGTACACGCCAGGAACAATTTGGCAGTTTCTACAAACTAGGTCTCTGTCTCTATTGTGTTATTTTTTTCAGACGTTGGCAGGTATGGGCTAGGAAGGGCAAACACTCAAGACCATTGGCTTCTTCTGCTCCTTAAATTTATGGTTACAAATAAGGAAAAGGAGCCATCACTGCCTATCTAATCCTTTATGGAACACACACTGTTCAGTCCAAGTGTACATTGTCCCTAAGCCAAAAAATCTGGAAGGCCAGTGGCCAGATTAGAAGAGAAAGTAATGCAATATTGTTAGATATTCTCAGGGCAGCCCAAGAATAACCCTGCGAAGAAAACCATGAGCCATTATCCTCCATTTATGCCAAAGGCAGCCACTGAGGATCTGGTCCTCTGAGCGTCATCGCCTTGGAATGCATTTTCATTAAGACCAGAGAACGAACAGTGTCAGCTGGTCTCTGTGGTGGTGATTAATTGCCAGTCAAGCTATGACAATGCCTGTGCCAAGGGCCCGTGAACTTTGGCTGGGCTTCTGACACAGCAGCAGTAAATATTATGGAGGTGACATGACTGTGCTCAAGTCAGGCAATGGCTCTGATTTCACAGCCATTATTTGCAGGGATGAAGTCATCCTCTGTCCTTAAGGTCGTTTCCCACCAAGGACAACCCAGAGGTTTTTTTTTTACTGCTGTTTTAGACTGAGGTAACCAGGGCTTTTTTTTCCAGCCGGAATTCACGAGAACTCAGTTCCGGTACCATTCAGGGGGATTCCAGCACCTCTCAGGTGGGTGCCATTGCCATTCTAAGAGAATGTTCACAGTGTGTTCAGGCACCTCTTTTTCTGTAACAGTAGCACTGGAGGTAACCATGGTTAACCAATTGTGAGGGCACTGAAGGCACTGGTGGCTGGGTCCCATTGAGACCAGGAGGGTGGATGGCAGGAAGGCTGGCAGAAGGTGGTGCCAGAGCCAATGAGGTCTACAAGGGCAGCACTGAGACAGAGGAAGAAGTTGTTGACAGTCAGTGCCACCCCCTAGACTGATTGTAAATAAGGAGGCAGGGATATGGGTGCAGGTTCTGGTTGGAGTCTGACTGAGGTTGGTGGGATGGTCTTCCATTTGCCTGAGTGGACCAGCCCTTACTGACTGCATTTCTAGTTCTTCACTCTTGGTTCCCCTCCCTTTCATTTTCATTGCTAACCATGGTTAGTGTTACTTATGTACCTTTTAGTAAGGTAAAGGGACCCCTGACCATTAGGTCCAGTTGTGGCCCTCTGGGGTTGCTTTATTCACTCGCTTTATTGGCTGAGTGAGCCAGGGTACAGCTTCTGGGTCATGTGGCCAGCATGATTAAGCCACTTCTGGTGAACCAGAGCAATGCATGGAAGTGCCGTTTACCTCCCCGCCAGAGCAGTACCTATTTATCTACTTGCACTTGGATGTGCTTTCAAACTGCTAGGTTGGCAGGAGCAGGGACCAAGCAACGGGAGCTCACCCCGTCGTGGGGATTCGAACCGCCGACCTTCTGATCGGCAAGTCCTAGGCTCTGTGGTTTAACCCACAGTGCCACCCGTGTGTACCTTGGCCATCGTCAAAGCCTAGGTGAGCGAGCCAAAATTGCAAGGGCAAGTTTATTTATTATGTTTATACACCACCTTTTCCTCCAAGGAGAGCAAAGTGTGCACGGGTTCTCCAATTCCCTCTTTTATCCTCACAACAACATGCAAGTCGATGGCTGGCCCAAGGTCACCCAGGAAGCTCCACAGCCGAGTGGATATTCACACCCTGGTCTCCAAGGTCCTAGTCCAACACTCCAGCCCTTGCACCACACGAGCTGTCATGCTGAGCTGGGAGAGGACAGCAGTTCTTCCACTTTTTACTTTTTCCTCACTGAGAGAAGGTGAGGTGTATGCTGGCTGGGGCTGGTGGGCAGCTGTAGTCCAAAGGATCTGGACAGCAACAGGTTGGTAGGGGCTGGTTTAGGTGTGTATGTATATTTTAATGAACTGAACAGGGTGAAAGATTATGAGTCCAAGTGTATGTGCATGGATATCAATTTAATAGTGTTTAGATATTTTTTTTTAAGTTGCTATTTTGTTAACATTGTTTTGAAGATTATAAATGCCTTATTGATTTCCTAATCATATAATATGACATGCTGTAATTGTGATATTTAGCTTATTTTTAATTGCTGGTTTGTTTCACAGGTTATAATTGTTTTACTGATGGTTTGTTACTTATATGATTTAGGCTATTGTCAAGGCTGCCTCAAGTCTCAGCTCACAAAAGACCAACGCCTATGTCTTCTTATATACAAAGGTGTTTATTGCAGTTCATGGTTTGCTTGACATCCTAGGCGCGCAGCCTTACGTCTCTTACGCTAGACCGCTGAAGTCCCCTCTGAGTCAGTCCCTCCCCTGCACCAATTTAAGAGACTTGCGCTGCTCCACCTCTTTCTCTCCTTCCTTTTCCGCAGGGTCCTTCTGCCCGCTGGGGTTGCGCCCCTTCTGGATTCCACTGACGCTGAATCCCCAGACTGCTCTTCCCCCCTCCTGCGGGCTTTGGGACCTGGCCCCTCCTCCGGGCTCCCTGTACTTCCGCGCGCCTCTACATTTGAACTAGGCGCGCGCGCCAAACCTCTAACTTTCCTTTTGACAGTTACACTACTCCCTTCACTGCTCCCTCCCCTTCCGGAAGGGCGGCTTGCTCTGACCTCCCTCCTTTCTCTGCTCCCGGAGCTGCTTCCTCTGACACACTGGAAACTCCACCCCTTCGCTGCACTCTGGTGGGGAGGCTGGTCCTGACGCCCAGCTGCCACTTTGGGATCCTCCGCTGGCCCCCTGCTCCTGACACGTCCCTCCTGGGGCTCCCTGGCCTTAACCACCGGCGCCCCTTCTGGGAATCCTCTGATTCGCTGGAAAGACTCATGGAATCTCTTGAGTCATTGTCATCCTCTTCCTCGCTGGCTTGGAATTCCTCCCCATCGCTCTCCATCTCCTGCCTACCCTGTCCCTCTCTCCCTGAACCCCTGACATCCATACTTTCTGCTGATTTATTATCTTATTGCTGTTTATTGTTTGTAAGCCACTTTGGGATTTGTTTGAATGGGAAGCAGCATAGAAATACAGTCAATCAGTCATTACCTTTTGACCTGCCCTGGTATGTCAACTGAGCTGATTCTTCACCATTACTGGTAATAGTTTTAGTGCTCTGCTAGTTTTAAATCTTGTTGGTTTCAGTGCAGTCTTTAATCACATTTGATGCTTGCATTAATTCAATGTAAACTCCCCTGGAAGGCAGCATATAAATTAAATTAAATAAATAGTAGCATGCAATGGGTATTTTTATTTATACAGCAGAATAAATCTGCCGTCATGACATATGCTGTCCGCACTAGTAAAGCAGTGTGAAGTGGCAACCTGTCAGGATCCGTTTCCCTGCAAATAAAACACAAGCTTAACTGCCACATACTATTTTATAATTCCAATGAAATTCATCCATTTAAAAGGAAGCATTTAAAACTTGGCCTGCACAACATAAGATTGGTGGGCTGATGAGCAGACCTTTCCTTTTTATTTGGGATCTCCTGGAGGAATTCAACTATAATTTGTGGTCCTTTCTTACATAAGGGGAAACAGCTAAGCTCCACTTCAGACTACCAAACCTGATGGATGGGTTTGTGGTGAAATGCCTGTGTCACTGCTTCCCCTGGATTCAGAGGTATGGGGTAGCCAAGTTGGTACCTATTTTTGCAGGCAGCAACCCATGTCATTCAACGTGAAAATTCCTAGGAGAGTGTGTTTGTGTGCACTGGCTGCCTAAGTCAACAAGGAAAGTTGATGGAGATGAGGAGGAGGATGGGGAGCAAGGAGAGAGATGAAACTTCTTCTTATATGAAAAAGAATCCTGTGGTGTATGTGGGGGCCTGTGCAAAAAATGGACACTTGAAGATGGAGGGTACAGGATTCCAGCAGAGAGCTTCACCCAGAAGTCCTTTTTTTGGTTGTATTACATTGTACTGTCCAGCAGCAATACATTAGGTGAGAAGTAAGCAAGGTGGAGTTAAGGAGATCTAATGCCAGCTCTGTGCCAGTTTCTCAGCCCCCTCAGTCACTGAAACAGGACTATTGCAGCAGCTGCTGTCAAAAATCTAGCACAGAAGCTCATAATAGCAGCCCCATAGCCACACCTCCAAGGGGAGTCCAAAAATGCAGGCAGCAAGGTCCATAAACTACCCAGCTGCTCTGTGAAGATGTCATCACTTCTGGGGTGGGGGAAAGTCTCAGAGCTCTGTTTCCAAGAACAGCAACATTCCCACTGATTCCACTTCACATTTCACATTATTCTGCTGCTGTCTGGATAACCCAGCTCAGGGGTTTCCAAACTTTGGTCCATGGACCAACAGTGGTCTTCAGGCTTCATTCAGGTTGCTTGCAGCATGACCACATTAAATATCCACATTGATTTTAATACATATTTCTATTGCTTTGATTATTTCTTGTACTGTATTACAGTTCGAATTAAATGGAGTGCAAAATTTATTATAATAGAAAACCATATGAGAAATAAAGAAAGCCATAAAAATACAATAAAAATCATACAGCATCTAACACGGTGCATTGCAATTGCTACAACATACAGAACAATCATTAAGTGGTTGTCAGGGGCTAGGCAGAGGAGGAGGAATGGTGGAGACCGCCTCCCCATCCTGGCCCTTACAGGGAAGAGGAAGACAGTATAGATTTACAACAGTGGTTTGCGGGAGGTCGCAGTCAGAGGCGGATGAGGGGGAAAGTTGGAAATAATGGGAGAGCCAGAGCAACACCTGGCTGACACGGTGTCATTAGAAAGCATTGCAGACCCACATTCTCCCAGAACCCGGCGAGCCTTAAAAGCAGGAGAGCAAAGAGTTCAAAGACAGAGAGCACTTAGCGGCACCCGTAGAGGTGGTGATGATGATGACGCATGAGGAAGGGGGGGTGGAGATTCACTTGGGATAACACCATTATCCAAGAGGGTGGGTTCTATAGCCTCTCTCTGTAAAGTCTGAACTGAGAAAGGACAGGAATAAATTTTTCCTTCTCTTTATACTTTCCTAGGCAACCAGCTGGGAGCCACTGACAGCATTCTGACAGTGATTCACCATATAACGTTTACTGCACATGTAACTTGTTAAGATACAGTTGTACATTTATCCACTCCATGTTTACAGTATCTCCAGGCTTTGTCTTGCACATGGCACCTTAGTATGTTTGTTGTTTGAATGGTTACAAGTCTATCTCTATTCTAGCTATTATTCCAGGAAATTTGGTTTTATACTTATAAGCCAGTTTGTGGTGTTGTTGTTTTGTTGTATTATTATTACTGTCACCACATTTGATACTTTGTGTATATACTTTGCAGTGATTCACCAAGACCACCAGCAATTTTCAAGTTGTCCAAGGAGAGAAAAGTTTGGGAACCACTGACCTAGATCACCATCCTGGCAAATGCACCGAACTAGCTGTTTTCGGCATTGTGTACTACATTTGGAAAGATTGTGGCAGATTCATTGCAAGCAGCAGTGGCACAGAGCATCCAGCCAAAGCAGTGATGCAAAGGGCTGGGATGGGAGCGCATGTTCAAAAGTGCCTTTTCCTAATATTGATAATTCCATGAGCTCATATGCACACACACACACACACACACACACACACACATACAAGTTATATAACTTAGGAAATAAATTTTAGTTGGGTCCGGTGTCACGAGCCAGCCTTTTCCCCTCTGAAAACATTTCTGTGTGGACAGTACATCTCCTGATTTGGAAAGCAGCAATTCCACTTGTAAATCTTGCTTCTTGACAGACAGGGTTGGAAGGAATTTAAAGCAAAGATGCCTAAGTGGTTTCAGATGTAAGGGCACAGTATGTCTTCTTGTGGTATAAATGCCAAGATAGGAAGAGACTTTTTTAAAAAAATGGTTTTGGGTTACTGAGCAGATCAGTAGGTTGCTGCTATCTTGTGTTCACCAAACGTGTTTTTCTAGGCTGGCCTTAGGTCTCACATGCACTGTATTCAGCCTATTGCACACTCTGATGTGGTGTGACCTTATCAGCCCTGAGGACACCTGAACTCTCAATTATGGCCAACTCACCAAAGAATCTGAAATGAGCTCGACATCGTCCTGGCTGCATGAGTAATGTATTTATTTAGCCATGGGAGAGAAATCCATCTATGTCAGCTCTGAAGGCAGTCCCTCTTTTCAGTTCCAGCCATTTATAATAGGAACATGCAGAGCTGCCTCATACCCAGGCTGACCATCTAGCTCAGCATGGAGAACCTCAGACCCAGAGACCAAAGGTGGGACATTATCCAGGCTATTCATACTCAAAAGCAACACCTCTCAATGTGAGCCAAGCTGCACTTGGCTGGAATGTGTCCTTGAACCCTAATGATATTTCCTGCTTGCTTAGATGTTGGGTGGAAGGGGTGAGTAGAAACTAGCCTACTGTAGAAATGACTACCTCCCTCCCTACAGACCTTCTTGGGTGTTAACATATGCTGAGGATGGTGCCTTCTCGGTAGTTCATCCACTGAGAGTCTTGGGGAGTGGGATGGCTCAGGAGAGGCACCCCCCCCCGAGTTGTGGAACTCCCTCGCCTCAGATGTGCATCTGGCACAGCTTCCAATGAATACTGAAGAAGCACCTCCTTACCCTGGCTTTTGAGGTATCTATTTTTGGGACCCACCTTGTTTTATTGTTTTATTGCAAGTTGCTTGAAAAGCTGTTTTTAATCTTGTGTCTTGATGTTGTAACCCACCCTGGAGCTTGGTAAGTTGTTGATGATGATGATGATGATGATACTTCATCACTCTACCCACTTTAGCCTCTGGCATGTGGCTCCTTGGAAGCTTGTCCTTGGTCTACACTAGGGTTTCCTAAACGTGGGTCTCTAGCATTTAGTAGTCATCATCCCTAGCTGGCAGGAACAGTGGTTAGGGATGATGGAAATTGTAGTCCAAAAATAGCTGGTCCACACTATCTAGTGCATCAGCATTTCAGGCATTTCAGACCTAGCTGGACACTGAACCTTCTGCGTGCAAGGCACATATTCCACCATTGACCCTTGGCCCTTCCCCATAGAGCAGAGATTATTTGCTCCCAGGTTCCTGAGTCTTGGACTGCATCTCATCCACACAAGCTGTGCACATTGCAAAGCAAAGAACTGTGAGAAGTATGTATAGACATAGATTTTTTTTCACAAGTTGCTCACTGTTCTTTCAATTTGTTCTAAGTCATCCACCAGGGGATATGTGATCCTCCCTTGTGTAGGTATTCTTTTACAGCCCCATTCCAATGGTGCTTACACTTCTCTAAGTTTAAGTGTGCATAGGATTGCAGCCATAGTTATATTCTTCAGCAAGACATAGGGTTGGATTCAACTGACCTGGCGCACTAGCAGAAGCTAGTGCAAGGACTCCCATCAGCGCAACAGGTCTCCCCTCTCTCTTTCCCTCTGTGCCTCCCCCAAATCTGCTGTGGAGGGTTGGGATACCCCTGAAACAGCACACAGGGAGGGAGGGGCAGGACAGGATAATGTGGACTAGATGGGCCGCTGGCCTGATCCAGCAGACCCTTCTTATGTTCTTAACTTAGATTTAAATGAATGACGGAGAGATTTGTCCTTCTGCAAGCTCATGAGATTCCATCTGGTTTATTTAATGAAATACTTTCACCTAGTTCGTTACTTGCAACTGTTTGAGAATTTCAGTTGGGAAGATTTGCATGTGTTCTGAATCCTGTGGCATACCAAGTTCTCACACTTTTTTAAAAAAACAAAACCTATACGCCCTGATAAGATTTCTGCCCTGCTCTGATTACAGTCTGGAACAGGGTTTAACTTCCACATGATCAGTTTGTGTTTTTGCTCAGCCATCATGATCCACAGTAGCCAATGCAGTCCAGGACTCATGCGTTTATGGGCATAAAATATTTCCCTGTGCATCTAGAAGAAAGCCACCCTCTTCCTGACTGGTTTCTCTCTGCTCAAATCACCTCAGTCCCAGTTAATGCAGTTGACTGCTGAGTAGATAATTCTGTGCTGTACTTCCACCAGTCTGAGTGGATCACAGACTTACATCCCTCCTCATGGCTTAGGGCAGAGCTGGCACAATGTTCTCAGGTTCAGGGAAGGTCCATAGCTCAGTGATTAGAGCGTCAGCTTTGCACACAGAAGATACCAAGTTCAATCACTGGCATCTCCAGCTGGAGCTTATGAAGACCTGTTGTCAACAAGTGTAGACAACACTCGTGGTCCATTCCAATTCTACAATTCTATGATTGTAGTGGTCTGAGTCTTGGACTGCATTGGTGTCAGGGATTGGACTCAAGAGGGCAAGATGGAGGAGAAGGAATGGTGGAGATCACACACACACACACACACACACACACACACACACACACCTTCTCCTGGTGCTGCAAGAGAAGAGGGAGGCAGCCTTGATTTACAGCAGGGCTTTGAGGTGTTGGAGGAAAGTCAAAGCTCAGAGATAGAGGACTGTGTTAGAAGAACGGGGTGGGGGGTAGGGGGCTGCGACAGGGCAGCCAGATGACACATTGTCACTAGAAAGTATTTCTGACCCCCCTTCGCCCAGAACTCGACTTCCGTTAAGAGCGGAGGAACAATGGAATCAGAGACATTTGACCATGGGGGGCGGGGGGGGGGGACCAAGAGAAGATGCTGCTGCTGGGAAGGAGGTAGGAGGAGCCCAGTTTGGAGCAACGCCACTGTTAAGTCTTGTGTTCTTTTGTCTCTCACTACTAGAATTGAATAAAACTCATTAAAAAGGACTCTACCTTGTTTTCTCTGCTCTTGCTGCAACGGTGGGAGGAATAGCTTTCCCGAAGCCTTGACAGAGCCTTGACAATTGGCTGCATTGGCTGGCCCTGAGAATGGCAGACCTGTTCTGCTCCAATCATGTATAAGCTGGGGAAACATGTAGGAGCTCAGAGGAAAGAGAAACTTTACTTCAACCTGAAGGTTCAGATATCAGCTCTAGGAATCTAAAGTTTGGAACTCCCTCCTGTTACGTATCAAGGTGCGCATTGTCTCTGTTATAATATCGGCACCTGTTGAAGACCTTTCTCCTCCCCCAAAGCTGTTATGTGGAGGTTTTCATCCCAGTTGTACAAGAGTTGAACTAGAAACGATGCTTTTATATAGCTTTTTAAATTGTAAATGGCTTCGGAGTGTTACATGGGAAGCGATTTACAAATGAGATTAAAACAAGGAAATGAACTAAATGTTGAGGGAACTCCATAATGAGTAATATTTGTGGAGGTGAACAAAATGATTTATTCTTATATCACCCAGCACAGGATATTTATCCTGTTTTGCCCCAGATGACTGCGGAGTTCAGAACGAAGACAGCACAAATAACGACACAGCAGTTCAAAACTAAGTGACCAGCTTCCAGAACCAGAGGTGATTTGTCCTGAATGTCAGAAAAGACAGGTTCTGAGGGATAAAGCATGTACAGGTCAAGGACAAACAAGCTATATCTTCATTAAATAAGACAGCCGTGACAGAAATCAGAGGTGGACTGATTCATCATAACATTTCCTAGCTTAGATGTTTCAGCCTATTTGCATTTTTGCCACAACTTGCAATTTCTTCTTCTTCTTTAATCGAATTAATTCCTAAACAACAAACTGAGACAGGAAAGTACAATAATCCCTAATGATTTTGCAGATAGTCAAGCTTGTATTTCAGGGTTGTGTTCAAGCACCAAGAAAACCTGAGGAAATAAAAACGCCATAGCCTGGTGCCCAAAAACTGACAATCTTGATGCCAGGAACCTCCCAAACTCCTGGCACACATCCACTTTAGGATCTTTTGATACTGAAATCTGAACAGCCTCCAAAATCTGGCACCTCAAGGATCAATAAGGACAACAAAGATTAATGGTATGAAAAGCAAATTAGCATACCTGCACACACACACACACACACACACACACACACACACAAAGTGAACAGATGTTCATACGCGCTGTTGGTTCTAAAAGCCTCCCTAAAAATATACAGCATAAGTAGGATGCATTACACCTAGCCAAGAGAAGGGGGGCTGTGTGTCCACAGCAATAAAGGTAAACGATTCTGAAACATCAGCCTTAAGAGACCCCCAAAACACCAAGAAACTTCCAAAGGTGAGTGTGTGAGCATGTGGGGGACTTTGTGGAAAGAAGCAAAGATGGGCACAATTTGTTGATTTTAATAAATGAGATTAGTTTGGATGTGATTGGAAAGGGACAAAAAGTCAAGTTGTGGAGAGCTCCACTCTGGGTGCCGTGATCTCACACAATTTCATGCGAACATCTCACCTGAAAAAGTGCTTTTCCCCCTGGAAAAAAGTGCTTTTTGGGAGACCGCAACCTTGCATGGTCCCAAACAAAGCATATCTTTTGGGCTCCATAATCTTGCACGGAAGGACAGGTGGGAAGATGTGTGTCCCCGCTTGGGCACGCAATATGTTGGAGGGCATGTTATGTCTATCCTCATATTTCAGACATGTATTTATATGGGTGGCTTCTGAAACACTTGACACACCAAAATCAACTTTAAACTAGCATAAAATGCAATTAAAACAAACAAACTGAAAGAGAAAACAGTATAAAACAGGCATAAAATCACTCAGCCCTTTGCCAGCCCTGAAGTCCTTTGCTTCTCCCACAATCTCCTCATTCACTAGCTAATGACACAATCATATTCAAGTGACTGGCTGACTAACAGCATTCGACTCCCTACGATAGAAAACAGAGGGTTGATTCAGAGATTACATTCCAGTGGGACAGGAGTTTTCATCCTCATAGAAATGCTGTCTGTGAGTAAGAACGATAAGAATAGCATAGCTGGATCAGGCCAGAGGTTCATCATGATCTCTTTTTTATTTTCATTACACTATTCCACAGCATTCATTTCAGTGAAAAGGAATGACAACACAAAAGGGTTAAAAATAGTGGAAGTTTGAATAACTGCAATGAGTTGTAAATGGGGCTGTCTGTGAAAACTGTCCAGAAATATTAATTAATCCAGAATATGGCTGTGAGGTTGCTAACTGGTTCTCAAGTTTTAGCTGCATCACTAAAAAAATTTTTTTAAACTTGATTTATTACCATATAAGTTTCTCTGACTTGCTTTTTTATTATATGGCAGCCTATAAGGGCTGGGGGGGGCGGACCTAGACTCCTTCAGTTCTGTCTGTTCTTGGGCAGCGCACAGAGTGTAAATTTAGCTCTGATATGGCTACAATGAAGTTAGTATGCAACCAATGATTCATTTGCCCCATTTGAACTCTCAGTTGATGTCATTTGGGAATGGCTGGCTGACCTGCTGAAATGCCTCAGGCACATAGCACGGAAAAACAAGGGAATCTTCTCTCGTTACATGAGAAACATTATATGCTTTTGCAAGCAGCTATTTTATGAACGACCACCACAAAATAATAAATCACTTCCTCAAAGTAAACTAAGAAAACCAAGTGAAACCAGCTATTGCTGTTTGGTAAATCACACTATGCAACTCATTGGTTTAAAGAATGCTCAGGACTTAGATGATTCTGCACAGGTAAGGCTTTAGTCATCCAAAAGATGTCATGATGAGAAGAAGAAGAAGAAGAAGAAGAGGAAGAAGAAGAGTTTGGATTTGATATCCCGCCTTTCACTCCCTGAAGGAGTCTCAAAGCGGCTAACATTCTCCTTTCCCTTCCTCCCCCACAACAAACACTCTGTGAGGTGAGTGGGGCTGAGAGACTTCAGAGAAGTGTGACTGGCCCAAGGTCACCCAGCAGCTGCATGTGGAGGAGCGGAGACGCGAACCCGGTTCACCAGATTACGAGTCTACCGCTCTTAACCACTACACCACACTGGCTTGGATAGGATTCAGACAAATTCATTGAGGATAAGGCTTTTGATGGCCACTAGCCACAATGGCTATGTTATACCCCCAGTATTGGAGGAAGTACACTTCTGAATATCAGTTTCTGGCAATCATAAGTGGAGAGAATGCTCTTGCACTCAGATCCTGCTTACAGACATCTGCTTGGCCACAGTGAAAACAACATCCTAGATTAGATGAGCCGTTGGCCTGATCCCTCAGGGCTCTTATGTTTAACCATGCTTTTCTTCCCATTCATAGGTTGGGAACTGTAGTAAACAAAGAGTGAACTGAAGGAAAAGAAGCCTACAACACATTTGGGATAGAGACAGGCTATTTTTGAATGCACAGAATCATGGCCCAAGCCAAATCCCGTGGTCACTGCAAACCCGCAGTATTCAGTTCAGCTGTGCATGCAAAAAGCTGCCTTGGTGTGCAGTCCTTTATTGATGAATAAGAGTGATTGACTTTTTAACTGATTAATAGCCAGGATATTTCTGGCACTGCCCAATTCCAAGCGTTTTCATTGACTGATTTGCCTTCTTCTAAGAGTGCAAAGAGCGAAAACCATCCCATTAAGCAAATTCCACTACATAAAACATGTTTTACTGTCAAACCAAATGCATGACTAAGGTACCTTTAGAGAGGGCACATACAGGTGCTGTTAATTTCCATCACAGCTGTGGCTGTCCTGCGTCATCCATGTTTACCATATCCAGTGTCCCATCTGCTGCGGTGAAATGCAAGCCTGGGCTTTTTAAAAAAAGAACACTGTCAGAGTAAGGATCCTCTTTCCATGTGAGAAATGCTTCCCATACTTTCCAGCATCATAAATCCCCACCACCATCTATTTAAATCCCTACCATTCCCTTCTGCCAGTTACTTGCCACAGGGCAGCCTTAACTAAGTGGTGTTAACGCAGGGATGGGTGAGGAAGCCACAGGCAACACAATGTCTCCAGAAGAACAGCTGAAGAAGAACACCCCTGCTCAGAGGGCCATCAAAAAGATCCGTACGGCTAGCCTCGTCATCAGCTTGGCACGGGGTTGGCAGCAGTGGGCATCTGACCACCATACGAAGCAAGTCCAGGAGCCCAGTGGGTGGGTGCCCTCTGAGGAGAATTCCCCAAGGGAGAGGGTATTTCCCAAACCACCAACTGATTTCAAGAAAGACCAATCGAAAGATGGCGTGTCCTTTCAGGAGCCAAAAGAAAATGGAGAGCAGGCCCCGAGTGAATCAAACGAAGCCCTCCAGAAACTTAACATCAGAAGCAAAGAGGTGACAAAGACCATTGTAAGTAAAGCCTACGAAAGAGGCAGTGGTGTGAGTCTCCTCAGTGACAAGTATGAAAAAGACAATGGGTGTTCGTCAACAGACAAGAGTACCGAAGACATCGATAAGCTTCTCAGTGGCAAAATGTCCCCTACAAGGAGGAGGAAGTGTTCTAACCTGGTGTCGGAGCTGACTAAGGGGTGGAAACAGATGGAACAGGAAGATAAGGCCGATGAACCGGAACTACAGAATTATCGTAGCGACAGCTTAGATACCGAGGACAGTGGTTATGGAGGAGACGCAGAAGACAAACTGGATGCTGACAACAGTGGTCAAGAAATACGGACCGTGAGGATAAAACGGCCTTCATCATCACTGTGAGTAATTGTCGAGTTTTCCAAGTGTAGGTCTAGGTGGGCTTCACAAGGGCTGCTTCACCCAATGAGCCTGCCAGGTGGAGATCCGCCCCCCTTGAAACTGCTTCCATCTGATGGATGCTTTATTTATTAAAGGCATTTATTATTATTTAAGGCATTTATATACCATTTGCATTTATGCAAAGTGGGCTCATGTTCAGCCATCACTACAATGTCTCTCCCATGATGCTACATCAAGAACATTTTGGCAGTGGGTGGAGAATAAGTCATTGGGTGTGTAATGAACTGGTTGGCACAATGGCCCATGTAAGGACCCATGAGGAGTCCTCACACAGAAGCAGTTTCCGGTGACCTTTGGGTATAGCAGATGCTAACATGTGCAGTAAAATATTTTTTCAACTGTCTTTGAAATAACCCTAACAGTGGAAATACTAGGCTATGGTTGGTGGGTTATAATGTAGTCACATGACGGCTCCAGAATGCCAGTGTTTCTCAGGAGAGGTTTAGTTGCATACAGCAAACGTTGGTTTGCACAACTAAAGTGGATTAAAACACTCTGCTGCAACAAGTCCACTGAATAAAGAGGTTATCTGGAAGACCCCTGAACCTACATTACTTGGGGTCAGCCAACTTGGGTAACTCTAGCACTGGTGTTAAAGTTTTCAGATGTTTCCATCTGTTAGCTAGGTGCTTCCATGAAGTACAAACGAAAACCACGGATGCAACAGACCACTGCCCTTGTTTGTTGTCAACACCTGATATTCATGCCTCTGGAAATGAATGTTCTATTTAGCTTTATCATACCTAAGGGCTGTTGCTAGATCTATCATCCATTAATTTGTATAATCCCTTTTCTTTAGCCAATGAGTTTAGTGGCCACCAACATGTCACATGGCTAAACATCCTATTTTGTCATCTACTGCATGTTTAGAGAGATTACAGGGGGCTCAAATTTCGGCTATCACAGATCTATAAAGATTGATGATAGATAGATAGAAAGTTACTACTTGTTGTTGTTTAGTCGTTTAGTCGTGTCCGACTCTTCGTGACCCCATGGAACAGAGCACGCCAGGCACTTCTGTCTTCCACTGCTTCCCACAGTTTGGTCAGACTCATGTTTGTAGCTTCGAAAACACTATCCAACCATCTCGTCCTCTGTCGTCCCCTTCTCCTTGTGCCCTCCATCTTTCCCAACATCAGGGTCTTTTCCAGGGAGTCTTCTCTTCTCATGAGGTGGCCAAAGTATTGGAGCCTCAGCTTCATGATCTGTCCTTCCAGTGAGCACTCAGGGCTGATTTCCTTAAGAATGGATAGGTTTGATCTTCTTGCAGTCCATGGGACTCTCAAGAGTCTCCTCCAGCACCATAATTCTAAAGCATCAATTCTTCGGCGATCAGCCTTCTTTATGGTCCAGCTCTCACTTCCATACATCACTACTGGGAAAACCATAGCTTTTACTATACGGACCTTTGTTGGCAAGGTGACGTCTCTACTTTTTAAGATGCTGTCTAGGTTTGTCATTGCTTTCCTCCCAAGAAGCAGGTGTCTCTTAATTTCGTGGCTGCTGTCACCATCTGCAGTGATCATGGAGCCCAAGAAAGTAAAATCTCTCACTGCCTCCATTTCTTCTCCTTCTATTTGCCAGGAGGTGATGGGACCAGTGGCCATGATCTTCGTTTTTTGATGTTGAGCTTCAGACCATATTTTGCGCTCTCCTCTTTCACCCTCAATAAAAGGTTCTTTAATTCCTCCTCACTTTCTGCCATCACGGTTGTGTCATCTGCATATCTGAGGTTGTTGATATTTCTTCCAGCAATCTTAATTCCGGCTAGGGATTCATCCAGCTCAGCCTTTCGCATGATGAATTCTGCATATAAGTTAAATAAGCAGGGAGACAAAATACAGCCTTGTCGTACTCCTTTCCCAATTTTGAACCAATCAGTTGTTCCATATCCAGTTCTAACTGTAGCTTCTTGTCCCACATAGAGATTTCTCAGGAGACAGATGTGATCAGGCACTCCCATTTCTTTAAGAACTTGCCATAGTTTGCTGTGGTCGAGACAGTCGAAGGCTTTTGCATAGTCAATGAAGCAGAAGTAGATGTCTTTCTGGAACTCTCTAGCTTTCTCCATACTAGTTACTACTAATACTCTACAATTAATTACCCGCCACTCACCTCTAAAAACAAAGTAAAACAGCTGTTTTAATACATAACTGTTAGAATAGCTACTTCTAGTATCCTAGTGGACGAAAGTTTGTACTAGCCACTTGGAGAGACAGAAGGAGATGCTTATTAGCTTACTCTGTAGGAGAAAGCTGCACACAGCTGGATTTTGCCCTGCCCCTCCCATGCAACTGGCCTTTATGAAATGCCAATTATCCACACAATGCAAATCTGGAAAGAGGGACAATTTCCGATCTGTTGTTTGCAGGAAGAAAAACTACTGCAAAGTACCTATAGCTGTGTGCAGCCACTTCACCTGCCCTGCCCTGCCCTGCGTAGAAGAATAATGACTGCAGCATTTTCTTTGCTTAAAAAAGAAAGAAAGAAAAGCATTTGGCCAGAACCACATGAGTTGCCACCAGAAGTGTCATGTAGCAATTGAACACACCAAAGGAATAATGACAAGAAAGTGATTTATAGGATAGGTTCACGACACCTGCAGTTCTGTACTTTCCCCACATTTACTTTTCAGTTTCATTTAAGTGCCCTTCAACTTAAGCCACCATTCTCACACAGCTGCATAGATGAAAGGGTGGTGGTTTTGAAAAACCTTTCAGTTTTTGCAGTGCTGATCATTTCCATACATAGGAACATTAGAAGCCGGAGTATACTGAATCAGACTGTTGGCTATCTAGCTCAGTATAGTCCACACTGATTGGCAACAGTTCTCCAGGGTTTAAGACAGGATTCTCTCTCAGCACCTGAAGATGATAGGGTTCAAACCTGCTTCTGTCTGTAAAGCACATAGATGTTCCGCCACTGAGCTATGGTCCTTTACCAGCTGGAGGGGATGCGGGTGGCGCTGTGGTCTAAACCACTGAGCCTCTTGGGCTTGCCGATCAGAAGGATGGTGGTTCGAATCCCCGCGACGGGTGAGTTCCCGTTGCTCAGTCCCAGCTCCTGCCAACCTAGCAGTTCGAAAGCATGCCAGTGTAAATATGTACCACTGCGGCAGGAAGGTAAACGGTGTTTCAAGCGCTCTGGCACTTGTCACAGTCCTCCGTTGCGCCAGAAGCGATTTAGTCATGCTGGCCACATGACCCAGAAAGCTGTCTGTGGACAAATGCCAGCTCCCTCAGCCTGTAAGCAAAATGAGCGCCACAACCCCATAGTCGCCTTTGACTGGACTTAACTGTCCAGTGGTCCTTTACCTTTACCTTTCACCAGCTGGACCTTGAAATCTTGAACCTAGTCCCAGTCTTGGGAGTTCTCAAAGTCCCAAGGCATTCCTGTACTGTTGCTTTTTTAATGCAATATTCAATTATTAGAAATATACCCAAAGATATAGCTTATATATTGTTTGTTTGTTTCCTTACACACACACACACACACACACACACACACACAAAACACTTGATTGTAAAAAAACAAAAACAAAAAAACCTCAAAGCAGTTTACAAAAAGAATAAAACAAGAAGCTCAGGGTTCATGCCTCCAGTCCCCAAACATTAGCCTCACAACAACCCTTGTGAGATTGGCTGGCTAGATCCTTGCTGAATGTTCATGAAATACTAGTCTGATATTGACAATACTCACCAAATTTTGGACATTCACTGTAACTTAAATAATTGACCTAAAATAGCAACATACCTTGTCCTGCAGTGGAGGCAGGAGAGAACAATCAAGTGATATTTATCTATTTTGGAATGCTCCTAATCTAGTCTGTTTTACTGCCAGAGCAACCTGGACTCTTCCCACCCCCACCCCCCCATCCTAGTACCAAGCTGGCTTCTCCACTCATTTCTGTATCCCTGCATAGTCATTCACACCTGTTTAAAGAGGGTGTAAAACTATCACAGGAGTGGGGTACTGGCTTTCGCACCCACTTGACTGTGTAAAACCTTCAAGCTGTCAAGGATCATGGCCAGTCCACTCACCCACTTGAACTAGAAACCTAAAATTAAGACTGCCAAGCTGGCAAACTTCCTGTTATATATAGTTCTGTAGTGTTCATTTTGACCAATGGCCCAACATTTCTATTCTGTATTCCCAGTAACTTTGGATGGCTTCGTTGCCAATTCAGATCTATTCCTGAAAAGAGGGTCAAATTTGCCACACATATACAATTTCCACTAAACAGCCCATTCAGTTCATCCTGGAGCCAGCCCAGATTAACACGAACTACTCACTAAAAATAAAATGCAACCGTAGTGATGATGTAAGTAACCTTTAGCCAGAGTCACATGAACTTCTCAAATATTTTCTGAAGAGCTTCACCTTAACACGGCTGTTCAGAAGCGGTAAAGATTTATTTTATTTTATTTTTATTTTGCTGGCTCCCAGCATAGGATTTTCTCTGGTGCTGTTTTTATTATATCTGCCAATTCCTTTGTTTTTAACATCCCTCCATAAAGGTGCCTTGCAAGGATCTGGCACTAAAAAGGGTGCTAGAAATATATTAATAAAGATTAGTATGTACCTTTAAATCTAAAGAGCAGCTGAAGGAAGAGACTTAGGCCAATCTAGTCATGGTTAGAATGGTAGACTAGGATCTCAGAAACCAGGATTCAAATCTTCAGTCAGCCATGAAGCACCTTAGGTAGGACAGTCATTCCCCACCCCACCCCTTTTTAGCATAGCCTACCTCACTGAGGAGTTGTAAGGATAAAATGAAGAGGGAGAGAACCATTTATGCCACCTTGACCTCCTTGGAGGTCAAAAGAAAATGCAATAATAAATATTCTGTCTCACTGCCTCAGGCAAACCAGCCCGTAGAATTAGTTTTTGCAGGCCCACACACCTCTTTGCATTGGCTTTTCACATTTGAGGTGTATATGTTCAGGACCCACCTTGTTTTTGTGATTATAAGTTGATTTCAACTGTTTTTAATATTGTGTTATAATGTTGTAACCCACCGTGGAGCCTGAGGTTGAAGGTGCCCACTTTAAATCATCATCTTCATCATCAGTGCATTAGCACTGATTTGTACATGCTCGTGTGGTATTAATTTTACCTCATGATTTTTCTCTTGTTATGAGTCAGATTGGCAAATCACTAAAGATGGAGGAGATTGGACTGTCATGTGAGGGGAAATTTTCCTTCAAATCGGTGTCAGCCTATGAAGGAAATTGCCTCTAAAAAATTCTGCCTGTGAGAAAGAAAATGTAGCCCTTGGGCTGCAATACATCCCTTGCCAGCTGAATGTCCGCTTGAAAAACACAACATTCTCCCCAACAACTTTCGTTACTCCACATGTAGAAAAGCACAGGTTGACGTATAGCTAATTGGATGGCAGACTTGGCTGGAAAGGGTTTTAATTTGTCCTCCCTTTCCTCACACGCTCCTGCTCCATCCGCACCCATTGGCATCTGCTTTACATAAACACTGAACCCCCCGTTACCTGTAATTTGGTTCTCACTCAAGCAAGAAACCTGTCTGGATTGTACTACCAGATTGCCAATGGAGAGGCCCACATAATTCAGTCCTCTTTCATAAACAACCATTTCCTGCACATAGAGAGCTGGCTGGTAAGGAACATGGCTAGTCTAAAACCCTCCCTAACATCTAGCTTTCTATGTGTAGGGACTATTTTTTGTATGGAGGGGCATTAAATCACACAAGGTCGCACCTGCAGAGTCACCTCATGTGAACCATTTTTATTTTTTTTTTGGCAGGATAAAGATGCTTTAAATAAAGAGAAATAAATATAACTTGGTCTCCGTACCCTAGCAGTAACTATCTGGCACTACGTTGGTGTGGACAAAACACAAACCACCCACACTTTGGGCTGTGTTAATAGGACACCGAGTGTTTTCCTCCCTACTTAAAAAACAATGCCTTGAAGGAAAGTAACAGGCAAGTGGCACTGAAGAAATCCCAGTGTGTTTATACAGAACTACAAAGTTTTGAATTCCATGAAGTTGCAAGGTCATTTTGAAAGACCTTTGCATTTCCTCAGTATGCCAAGCTTGGCTTGCACCCAGATGGTTGGTTCTCACATGGCTGGCCTAGCACTGAAGTGGCAGGGAAACATACCTTTGAGGAAGAGAGAGAGAGGAAGGGAGGGAGGGAGAGAGAGGGAGAGGGAGAGGGAGGGAGAGAGAGAGAGAGAGAGGGAGGGAGGGAGGGGAGAGAGAGATGGTATAATAGTTCCTCTTTCAGATTGTGTTTGCTGTTCTGATCACAGGCAGACTTTTGGTTCTCAGATTTCAGCAGCACCCTGTGCAATGCTAAAATTCGGCACCCCCTCCCTCGCACTCTGTTCTACAACATTGTTTTGGTGCTCCCTGAAGTGTGGCACCCAGTGTGACCAAACCAATCGCGCCACCCTGTTCTGATCCTTCTGGTGGTTAACAGGTCTGGAAGAACTCTCAGAAATTCAACAATAACAAGCACATTTCTAACCTTCCTTTCCTCAATGGAAGCAAGTCATGTACAAGACTTCCTTCCTTCCTTCTCACAACATTGCTAGGGAACAGGGTTCCAAATTGCAAGAGGAACCTACACACACACCAGGCTCCTCACTCCCCTCCCCCATCCTGCTAATATCAAAAATCATGGAGGCAGCAGGGGCATAATGGCGGAAACAAGTCCAGCAGACATACCTTTGCTCTTCCTCCAGCGTGACTGGAATTGTGTGAGGGGAGAGCACTAAAAAGGGCTTCTGGGATGGTGCCCAGGCTAGCTCAAGGGCACCCAGTGAGCTTTATGGATGACTGGGGTTTAAACTCAGGTCTCCCTGTTCTTATTTTGACATACACCACAGTGGCTCTGGACAAGATCACTGCTATATACTGTAGTAATGGGTAAACCCTATTGGCTTCACTGCAGGCAGTTTGGGTGGAGAGTAGAACGTTTGCATCCAGCTCCACCAGAATTCAGTTCAGTCCACTCCTGACATGTATCACAAGGTCTAGAGCAGCCTAGTGCCCTTCTCAATGGCACAGGGCTGTGAAACACAAAGATCCTTCCCTGACCCTCAAGATGTTGCTGAACAGCAGTTCATGGCCAACCGTTAGGGATGCACTAGAGGACCACACGTTCCTGCCTCTGCCTCAGACCATGTGAAGTTGTAGTGTAGGGTTGCTGGTAAATGCCCTTGGGCTCCATGTCTGTTAATGCTACCAGCCTCAGGCCGAAGCCCAGTGCTGGATTAAACCCTGTGGAGGCCCCATGGCAGTCAAAATCTCATGTTCCCCCCTTGTGCTCATGCTCTAGTGGGATAATATTGAGCTGAGAAATCTTGACTGTAATTTTCTTTCAAGATCAAATCAATATTATTTTGATCCACTGTCATCAGGCCCCTAAAAAGCATGGGGCCCATAAGCCAGTGCATGCTCTGCCTATTTGGTAATCTGGAACTGCATAGGCCACATTCACACTGTACATTTAAAGCACTGTGGTACCACTTTAAACAGTCATGGCTTTCCCCAAAGAATTATGGGAGCAGGAGTTTGGTCAGGGTGCTGGGAGTTGTTGGTAGACCCAGCACAGAGCTGCAATCCCCAGAGTTCCCTGTAAAGATTAAAGCATTCTGGGAACTGTAGTTCTGTGAGGAGAATATGAGTCTCCTAACAACTCTCAGCACCCTTAATGAACAACAAGGAAGCCATGACTATTTAAAGTGGTCCCTTCTCTGATGCTTCTGTGGTGTGCCTGTGGCCATAGCGAGGGTGATGCTCTGCGAGTCCCCATTTTGTTTCTGATCATACTTCTGACCCAATCAATTGACGTTTCCCAGCATTAGGCTGCTAATAGTAGAGAGGACTCAGCTGGCCCTTTCTAATAAAAAAATGAAAAATTGAAAAAAGAAATATGAAAAGGAAACAGAGGCAGGAAGTGTCACAGCATAAGATTCCTATGAGAAAGGAAGAGAGAGTCGGCGTTAGATTGTGTTTGGGTGTCAAAGCAGCAAACCAAAAGCAAAACAAGTGGTGCTAATCTAGCCCACTAAGGAGAAGATTAAAATGGGAAGGTGATAATAGTATTTAGTTTGAAAGGAGGATTAAAAGAACTAAGTGTGAAGAATGTAGGGGGTGGGAGCAAATGTCAGAGGCACAAAGCAATCAGAAGTTTTAAAATAGGATCCAGAACTTAAGGTATCTTTGCAGCTGCTTTCCTTTCCCTCACCGCTTCCAGCCTTTGTAACTTTGCAGGAATCAGACAAGGAAGAAGGGAAAGCACGCAAGGCCTCAGAGGTCATAGACTGGGAGAGGACAGCTGCTGTACCGTATCTGCACCTGCCCTCTGCGTGACTGAGCAGATAGCAAAGATATCAGAAAGAAGGTTCAGAATATAGGTGCTTTGGTGAGCTATAATGGGTTTTTCCCCCTTCCTGAAGCTTAGGAGTACCATTTCACTTAACGTATTTCACATGCATTATCACTGGACTTGTAACAACAGGGGGACATTCAGCGGATGGAATGCTGTTCAGGCTGACCTTTCCAAGTATTCAAAGCTTGCAACCAGCCTGCAAGGTTGTCCAGGAATTCGGAAAACAGAGCAGCGTTTTCAGAAGGGGAACGGCTGTAAATAGGAGCTGGGGGGAGGGATGGACAAAACTAGGAGCAAGGGGCCCCTTTTGCTGTCAAGGGCTGCATACCCCTAGGACAGGGTTCCTCAAATGGTGGCACAGGGCTACCAGTGAGCCTCAGCTCCAGGTGGGCTCCAGTGCCACAGCCTCCTCATTCAGCAGCCCTACCCCCTAGCTGCATTGAAGCCTTTTGGTTGGAATTATGCCCATCAACTCCCCATAGGCTGGGTAAAGATGATTGGGAGAGAGAAGTCTAGATGGGATGTGCAGTTTTCTACAGGGCCAAAGGAGGTGTGATAGGAATGCCCCAGCTGTATCATGATATCTTAGCCCTTAATGTACCAAATTTTAAGATTCCGTGGGTACAGAGATGCTTTTGGTTCCTGTGCCGTTAACAGTGAAATTTGTTTCCTTGGGATCTTCCAGTGGAACTGTGAAGAATTTTTGATTTTGGACAGGCTGACACAGGAATGTGTGATTTTATGTATGTTTTATTATACTACAGCACTGTGTGGTATAGTGGTTAGAGTGCTATGATGTCCGCCCTGGAACTCAGAATCATTGAATCACAGGACTGTAGAGCTGGAAGGTACCCGAGGGTTATCTAGTCCAACCCCTTGCAATGCAGGAATCTCAACTAAAGCATCCCTGACAGGTGGCAATTCAACTTCTACTAAAAAAAATATTCAATGATGGAGAGTCCACCACCCTCCAATGGAGTCCGTTCCACTGTTGAACAGCTTTTACTGTCAGAAAGTAATTCCTAACGTCTAGTCGGAATCTCCTTTCTTGTTATTTGAAGCCATTGGTTCAGGTCCAACCTTTCAGAGAAGGGGAAAAACCAAGCTTGCTCCATGAAGCTCGCTGGGTGACCTTGGGACCATCATTCACTTTCTTTTTTTTTTTTAAGATATTTATTGAAAAAAGAATTTTTTAAAAAAATTACAAAGAAAAAAGACAAAACAGAAAACGAAAAAGAAAAAATAAAACCATCATTTTCAAATTCTCCACTTTCATTACCTTCTTTCTATGACCTCCTCCTCCTCCCTTTTCTTGTATCTTGATTAATAGTTGTCACAGCAAATCCTTTCCATAATTCATAGTATTCTGTCATTACATTACCTTACTCTATTTTCATCTTATCTTATAAAAAACCTTAAAACTTAAGACTTAAATCTTATTTTTACCAACTTCTCATAACCTTTTTACCTAATTCTTTAAATATTTTTACAAGAGCCAAGTAATTTCATTTCAACATTTTTCTAACATTCATCAATTTTATAAAACATTCCTAATGATAGAAAAAAGAAATAAGAACAATCCAATCTTCTTCCAGCGTCCCTTCCTCCTGGTCCCGGGTTTGTCAGTCCTTTTTATCCCATTAGTCTGGCACATTAACCTGGTGATCTTATATCCGAGGCCTTCAAATCTCTTCCATGTCCCTTCTGCAGCTCTTCTTCATATTTTCCTTTCACTCGTGGGAACTCCAGCTTGGTAGTGTTTTTGACCCTTTTCAACAAATCAGCCCCTTTCCCATAGTCCAGACTAGACTCCATGTGGTATTTTAAGACATGTTTCAAATTCCCTCCAAAATTGGGAGCCCCCCACGGCTCCAATCATCTGACGGCCCATTGCCAGACTCGGAAAGTCCAAACATCTCTGCATAGGGGGGTCAGTCCAACCCCCCATTTCCAAATCAATCCAAACTTTATCTTTCCAAATCTGGTTTTTTCCAAGTTCATTTGTCAAATCCAAAGGCTCATTTTCCTGCAGGACCAAAAGTTCCTCCCTTTCTGGCACCCAAGATTCAGCAACATCCTCTTCTCTCAACTGTTCTGTCAGGGCACACTCCTGTTTAAGTTCCTGGGTGGGCTCCATATAGTTTCCCATCATTCACTTTCAGCCAAACTACCTCATCAGAGGTGTGTTGAGACGATCAGGTAAGGTTGCCCTCCACCTGAGCTCATGGGACAAAGGATCATGCAGATGCAGCAAATAATAAGCTAAATAAAGGGTTATTCTTCTTGACAGGAAAATAGTAATAATGCAATCCTGAACAAAATCTGGCGTTCCAAGATAAAAGAGATGGCAAGGAGACAGTTGTAAGCATGCTCAGATGAAGCTATTATAAAGATGTGACTTTTAGAATTGGTGATAACATGCCACCTAGTGGCCTGCCCTTTAAAGCAAAAGATGAGCAGTACTAAAAGGCATTCCGTTACCATTTAATGCAGTTCAAAAACCATCTATTTCTTGGTTCTTTCAGCGCAAACAGAAACGTCAAGGCCTCCAAGAAATACAGCCCCGTCCACAATCTGAGAGGGAGATGGGAAGACTGGGCAGATGAGCACATGATCACACAAAAGCTCAACCCCTTCAGTGAGGAATTTGATTACGACCTGGCCATGTCCACCCGCCTGCGCAAAGGAGATGAAGGCTATGGCCGTCCTAAAGAAGGTACAAAAACGGCAGAAAGGGCCAAGAGAGCGGAGGACCACATCCACCGAGAGATGAAAGACATGTGCTTCATCATCAGAACGATGGCTCGGCACCGCCGTGATAGCAAGATCCAAGTCACTTTTGGTGACCTGTTTGAAAGATATGTCCGTATTTCGGATAAGGTCGTTGGAATACTCATGAGGGCTAGGAAGCACGGGATGCTGGACTTTGAAGGAGAAATGTTGTGGCAAGGCCGGGATGACCATGTGATAATAACTTTGCTAGAATAATGCTATTCTTCATGGGATAACCCAAAGCGTTATCAGTTCCTGGTAACTCTGGTCAACTATATGTTGACTACTCCAGCTGAGACATCCAAGTTCTTCTTGGGGTAGCCAGTGTTTTGGACTACGATTCCCATCAGTCAGCACACCCATTGGTCAGATCATGGGACCTGTAACCCATAATAGCTAGAGGACATCATGTTAAATGCCTGCGTCATAGAAATAGTCAGAATCTCCTCCCGTTAAGTAATGTCTACATGTTACTAGCAAGTTCACGCTTCTTCAGCCAGTTTTATAAGGCTGAACTACACAGAGTAGACTAGCATAGAAGGGAATGAAGTTCACATTATTCTATCAGAATGCAAGTAGCTTTGCATCTGTTCAATATATACTGTATGCTTGTTGGGTTTAAGAGGGGTAACAGCAGCAAATTTATCTATTAACATTTGGAAGTAATGTTCAAGTACCCTGATACCTCAGTTTTAATACTAAATCAGTGGAAACTGGGGCCTAAACTCTTAAGTTTATGGCATTCTTTCTACATGACATTTCAGGTGAATGGAAATAATTCCTAGACTAAGTATAATAAACTATACTGTAGCATTACTTATATAAACTGTGCAATATACACATTTATATTTACTAAGTTACTATAAACTTCAGGATGGCATCAATTTTATACACTATGTAAGTCAACCTGTAGCTGCTTCAAAATGTATAGCTGGACTATTTTGCTGTGTTTAATTATTTATTTTTATAACTATGTATTTATGACGCTGATTGACAAGTGCTTGAAAAATGTATGGGATAGCCTCCGGATAAACAGTACAGTATTACACTTTTACTGTTTAATGTTAAAATGTACCAAAACAAAACCTACCCCTACCCCATGTTCTCTTTCAAACTGAAAGATCACACATCTTCTTACAGAAGAAAAAAAGATGTATGACTATTTTCAGTCATAAAGCTAATATTGTTAGAAATGTTTTTCAGGCATTACAGATAGGTTGGTGAAAATGTTTTGACTCACAATACAAACTTATTTATTTGCAGTAAAATCCTTATTTTGCTAAGGAATAAATTTCCTACATATATAGGCATGGAATGAGACTTTAGAGATTTGCATACTAACATTGTTTGCAAAACAATGTGCTTTGAAATAAGTGGTGAAAAAAGGTAATACTCTCCTTGAACAAAAAAATTGATTGCTTTTGAGACTGCAAGATTGAGTTGTAATGTACCACTTCAGCTCTCTCTATATGTGATTTCATTTTGAAGATTGTTTGCCCTTTATAATGCCATTATTTGCTTAGGTTCTATACAGAGGTGTGTGCACTTTAGAGCTGCTTTGAGTACCAGTAGTTCTCTAGAATGGGGTCACAAGTGTCCCCAGTCTGCAGATCGCAAGGGTAAGTTGTCAAAAAATAATGTGCTGGATACTATTTCTGCCAAATACAAAAACCATCAATCATCAAATTCCTCTTGTTCTTTTACATTAGCAAGAAAGCATTATATACACTCTCTCTGGCTGAATCCAACGCTAGTCCAACTCAAAGTTGACCCATTGAAATGATAACCTAAATTAGTCATGTCCTAATTTCTATGGATCTACTCTTAGCAGGAATAGCACTGGATAAAACTTTATGCGCGCAGACATGGTGCGTTCCATTGCATTCTTCTGATTGGAAGCTATTCATTAAGGTGTTGCTTATTGATTACTATACTATATTGTGACATGCAGCAAGCAGAACAACTGTTGTCTATTTCTCCTGAGTGGAGAGGGTCCACTACAGAAATTTCTCACCATAACAATCAGAGGGGGTTAATCCTAGATTAAAATGTAAGAGCCTTGCTAGATCATACCAAGGTCCATCTCAGCCAGCAAAATGCCCACCAAGAACTTGTAAGCATCACAGAAGGGAACAGCCCTACCCGTGACCAGTAGCCAGAGTTGTATCACCTTTGAACATGGACATTCCATGCAAATATCATAGCTGTTAGTTATCTCAGTTCCTTTGATTCGAGTTACCATAAGTCTAGCAACCCCGAGATGAGGATGCTTGAAAAGATTTGCAATTGCAATCAAAATCATCAGTAAGTATTGATCAACGCGAACTCTGCAGTTGCAGACAAAATCATCAATAAATATTGATCAACATGTACTCTGCATACAGCTACAATGAAAAATATTTTTGTTGGGTTAAAGGAAGAAAAGAAAAACAATACAATACAACACATCAAATTAACAAAACAAGACTAAGACAAAAAGATAAATCATCCAATTTCATTATCCCTTCTTTCATTCACTTATTTCCACGACCTCCTCACACCTCCCTTTTTGTATTCCACTTCTGTTAATTATTTCAGCAATTCCTTTCCATCCTCCTCTATTTTCTATCCTATAATTATCTTAACTCATTCTAACCTTATTTTTTTCCCTTTAATATTCTATTAACCTATCTGTACTTTAATTCCTTATAATATTTCTACTAAAGCCATATAACTTCATTTCAACATTTTTCTAACATTCATTAATTTTACAATATTTCTGTAAATAATCTTTAAACTTTTTCCAGTCTTCTTCCACCAACTCCTCTCCCTGGTCTCGGATTCTGCCAGTCATTTCCGCCAGTTCCATGTAGTCCATCAACTTCATCTGCCATTCTTCCCGGGTGGGCAAATCTTGTGTCTTCCAATACTTCGCGATGAGTATTCTATCCTTCTTTGGCACCATTTGGCCGACCATGCCCAGGAGAAAGGCCTCTGGTTTCTTCAAAAAGGTATATTTAAATACCTTTTTCATTTCATTGTAAATCATCTCCCAGAATGTCTTAATCCTTGGGCATGTCCACCAAAGGTGAAAGAATGTGCCTTCAGTCTCATTACATTTCCAACATATGTTATCGGGCATATGATAAATTTTTGCAAGCTTCACTGGTGTCATGTACCACCTATAAATCATTTTCATTAAGTTTTCTCTTAAGGCATTACATGCCGTAAATTTCATACCTGTGGTCCATAGCTGTTCCCAGTCAGCCATCATTATATTATGTCCAACATCTTGTGCCCATTTAATCATAGCTGATTTCACCGTTTCATCCTGAGTGTTCCATTTCAACAGCAAGTTATACATTTTTGACAAATTCTTAATTTTGGAATCTAACAATTCTGTTTCCAATTTTGATTTTTCCACCTGGAAACCAACTTTTTTGTCCAAATTATATGCCTCCATTATTTGATAATAATGGAGCCAATCTCGCACTTTATTTTTCAATTTTTCAAAGCTCTGCAATTTTAGTCTGTCTCCCTCTTGTTCCAGAATTTCCCAATATTTCGGCCATTTGGCCTCCATATTGAGTTTTTTCTGTGCCTTCGCTTCCATTGGTGACAACCATCTTGGGGTTTTCTTTTCTAACAAATCTTTATATCTTATCCATACATTAAACAATGCTTTTCTGACAATATGATTTTTAAACGCTTTATGTGCTTTTACCTTATCATACCACAAATATGCATGCCAACCAAAAACATTATTAAAACCTTCTAGATCCAACACATCAGTGTTTTCAAGTAGCAGCCATTCTCTCAACCAACAAAAAGCAGCTGATTCATAATAAAGTTTTAGGTCTGGCAGGGCAAATCCACCTCTTTCTTTAGCATCAGTTAATATCTTAAATTTTATTTGAGGCTTCTTGCCCTGCCAAACAAATCTAGAAATATCTTTCTGCCACTTCTTGAAACAATCCATCTTATCCAAAATTTGTAATGTTTGGAACAAGAACAACATCCTTGGCAGCACATTCATTTTTATCACAGCAATTCGGCCCAACAATGATAACTTCAAATTTGACCATATTTCTAAGTCTTTTTTCACTTCAATCCAACATTTTTCATAATTATCCTTATATAAATTTACATTTTTAGCAGTCATATTAACCCCTAAATATTTCACTTTCTTAACCAGTTAGTCCTGTCTCTTCCTGAAATTTCTCTCTCTCATTTACAGTTAAATTTTTCTCTAAAACCTTAGTTTTCATCTTATTCAGCTTAAAACCTGCTACTTGCCCAAATTCTTGAATCAGTTCCCAACACCCTTTTTGTGCTAGATTCTGGTTCCTGTAGGGTCAATACTAAATCATCAGCAAATGCTTTCAATTTATACTGTTTAACGCCCACTTGTATACCTTTGATCTCTTGGTCCTTTCTTATCATGTTTAACAAAACCTCAAGGACCGATATAAAAAGCAGTGGAGAAATTGGGCAACCTTGTCGTCTCCTTTTCATGATCATTAGTTTCAATGGGTCTACTCTGAGTAAAACTTTATTGAATACCCCACACTGTTTCTCAGTTCTCTGTTATTCCAATATGGATGCAATTGTCCCCAAATACTAGCAGAATAAACACATGGGTGTCAGGGAGAGCAGCTGAAACACAATGCAATTAAAATCTCATGACGACAAAAAATTGGACCATGTGTCCTGCCCCTCCCTCCCATTTGATCCCAACCATTGACAAGAGGTTAAGAATTTGAAGCATGGAACTACTGGTAAAATACAAGAGGGGCCTGGAAGAAAATATTGCAATGTGGAATATTCCTAGACAATGTCCCCAAATAGCCATTCCAACCTATTTTCAGTTCATCATCCATGAATGTGGCCACTGAACATTCTCAGTCCTCACTGGGTGTCTTGGGGTTTTGCTGTTTTTTTTGCTACTGAGCTCTGGCATTCACACTCTGACAATTGGAAATAAGAGGTAGAATCATACGAATTGTAGGGTTGGAAGGGATCCTGAGGGTCATCTAGTCCAACCCCCTGCAAAATGCAAGAATCCCAACATGCGGTCCCCCATCCAAATTGAAACCATACCTGTAACAATTCCTTCTTTCCTTCAGGGAATTTGTGTGTCTAAATAAAGTCCCGACTCAAGTTTCATGTTACATGTACTTAAGATTTATTTGCTCTATATCAGTATGACCTTATAGTACTTAAAATCCATTACAGGATTGTTTATAGTTAGTCTTAAACCCACAAAGACAATAATACTGCTGTGGAAGACCAAAGGGGAGAAAAAGCCATTTAATTTATTTACAGTTTCATTTGTAAACATTTAATCTACATATATTGTACTATGTTCTAACAGGAGTAAAGAGCTATACATTGAGACAGAAAACGACGCCCTGTATGTTTAGTTGTATTAAGCATGAGCATATTGTCGAGATAGAACTTCCCCTTTCCCGTTACCACAGCAGTAAACATCCTTCCGATAAGTGTTTGAACTTCTGAAAGAACTTTATATTAGCGACATACAATACAACTACAGCTAATGATTTAAGCCAAACCCTTTGGCTTCTTATTCCATTTCTAGAATAATTTAAAGTGCTAGAAGCAACCCGTCAATCAACACTTTCTCTCTCTCTCTCTCTCTCTGTAAAATAACAAAAACTACTTTTAAACACTAATTTACAAAGAAATATATACAATGTTCATCTGGAACAGCTGAGATTTCAGCACAAAATCATTCACTGTCACACTTAACAGCTTTTTTTTTTCTTCAATTTTTGCTTTTGCATAAACATAGAATATAAGCTTTGAAACAAACTGTTGTTGAGCGATTATTGCCACAATGGCTTTTCAGTTCTCCTACAAAAGTGAACGAGAGCTACTGATTAACTGTATTTTAGCCTGTCTTGTTTTTCATTTTGAGGTCACGGAACAGTAAAGTTTGCATATTACAAGTCTACTGGGTTACAATGTCTACCTAGAGTACATTACCTCATTGAATCAGAGCTGGTGCTAACTGCAGTTTACAACATAGATCCACTCAAAAGAAAAAAGAGAGAACACCACACCTATATTTTTTCTCTTTTTTTTTTTGGACAGGAGCAATTCTTGGAGACGATGTGCTACAAAGCTACAACAGAAAAACTATAAAACAGTATATATATCTATATATCTGACACTTTATGCTGTTTGGGGAAAAAATGCATCTGTTTCATAGTCTTAGAACATATAATGCCCCTGCTATAGCTATGACTTCTCCACTGCATTACGCTCACAATGTCCAACTGAGCATTGGTATTTTGTTTCTCTTGACCATGTAGCTCAATCGTTACCCAACATTTGTCCCAATCCTGCAGATCATGAACAGCTTGTGCAAAATACTTCAATACAATCAATAAGGGCAGCTACATTTTTACTGTTAAATACAACAGACATGAATTCTCTACGCATGAAAGGAAATGACACCGTTGAATGTGGATGAATACTTTGTCTAGTAAGTGGCACCATCTGAATGGTTAAAAAAAATAAATGGCCCAGACTGATCACTGTCAAAAATTTCAGAATCTCCATTTCTCTCTTATTTAGACCAATAGGGACATTTTTCACTACAGTTTGTGTAAATAAATGTTTTCTCGATGAAATAGCCCAAAAGAGTATAAGAAAGCTTTGGAGTAGTGGGGATGGGGGAGGGGGAAACCCAGGGATGACAAGCCACATGACGAGAGACCTACCTTCCCCTATAAAGTAAAAACTCCAATTATGAGTTATGAGAGCTACATCCTTCAAAAATATAGCAGGCTGATTAAAAATAACCTAAATAATGTTTTATGTAAAGGTATTTAGATGGCCATGCAGAGAATTCTGAAAAGCATTGCTGCATTATATTGCTTCAAGGGCTTTTTGAGCTGCACTGATCCATTTCAGGTTTGGGACAACCTTTTGTAGTAGCAGTTTATATTTTATTCAAAGCCCCAAATTTCAATGTCTTGAATAATGAAATCTTCTTTCTTAGAAAGAATGCGATTCCCAAATGTTTTGCAAGAATGACTTCTTCCATGGTAGAGATCGCCATCAAGCCAAAGTGCAAATTCACCCCTGGAATATGGAAAAAGAATTATTTCTCCACAGTAGAAAGCCACCCTCCTTACATGAATTAACACATACATGATTAGAACTCAAGAACAACAGGCATGTTCCATTTCCTTTCCATCCCTGAACCCAATTGTAACTGCATTTGAAACCAGCGTATTTTGCTAGGAATTCTTTCCTTGCCATAAATATTTCTGCATCCCTTTTAACTGAAGGGTGAATAGAGACTAATCAGGTAGCATTAAGATTTTGACTGTTTAGTTACACCTATTTAGTTACACACACTACTGAAGTTTGGCACCTGTAGACAGAGCACAGTACAGAAATGCAACCTGGTCCCTCACTAACTAGTTTTTGATCTAATAAAACATGAATCCAGTCTTCCTTGTATTCATCCAGCACTGAAACACCTGAGGGAAAGGTTCAGAGAATTTGGCAGAAGATGAGAGGTCCTGGGCAGAAAAAAAAAGCAAACTTGGGAGCTCACATGAAGATGGATCAGCACATCACTATTAATCTGCAAACACCACATAGAATTTCTATGTGTTCAATGTGCTTCACACACAATCTTCTGGCAATCATTAGAACAATCCTGTGAGACAGGTCAGTATTCATCTCTCCTGTGTTGCACAAGGAATGAAGATGAAGTTGAAGCAATAGTGGCTCACCTTAGGCTACATAGAAAGTTCCAAATGTTTGAAATGCACAGGTTTGAATTCACAGCTCAGTGTGCTAGCCGTTATGCTATACCTGCACTAAATCTAACATCTGGAGGGCACCAGATTGCAGAAGGCAGTGCGATAGGGAACTGGTGACCCTCCAAATGCGTTTTTTTTTGGGGGGGGGGATTTCAACTCTCAACAGCTGCAAATGTCAGGGATGATGGGAACTGCACTCCCACAGCATCAGATTCCTGCCTTAGAGCTATTCTCTCTACATTGCTTCACCTCCCACTCTTCTCTCCATATCTCGCTGCCCTTGGACATTCTGTTCATATGAAGGGAATATTCCATTTCAACTGAAACTATGAATGAAGGTTATATGGGAGAGAGAAGGAAATACTATAGGAAATGATAGCTCGGAAACAATATTTAATGTAAAAGAAGTCAACATGGCCATGAACAAAGGGGATTCATTCTTGGATGTGACCCAAAAAATTCTATTTGCAAACACTGGTAAGTGTATAGATTTATCAAGAAGCAAAAGCATTAAGATGTCTAGAAGCAGATAGAAGAGGAGAAATGGTACAGTGTCTTAAGAAGACCACTTCAAAGTGAGTATATATATGAAAAAAGGCTGTAAGAGCTGCATTTGGATTTGAAGAAGAGTTTGGATTTGATATTCTGTCTTTCACTCCCTTTAAGGAGTCTCAAAGCGGCTAACATTCTCCTTTCCCTTCCTCCCCCACAACAAACACTCTGTGAGGTGAGTGGGGCTGAGAGACTTCAAAGAAGTGTGACTAGCCCAAGGTCACCCAGCAGCTGCATGTGGAGGAGAGGAGAGGCGAACCCGGTTCCCCAGATCACGAGACTACCGCTCTTAACCACTACACCATACTGGCTCTCAGTGTGATTTATAATCTGATTTATAATCAGGACTGCATAATTCCTTCAAGGTAATGTTTTATTATTCAAGTATCATAGCTACAAGGTTCAATATAGTTAACAGCATACCACTTCTGAATCTGAGGGTTTTATCTGGTGGAGGGGGAACCCACCATAAAAATCAATCTTTAGTAAGAAAATAAATAAATTCATCACTCACCCTCCGCCACCAAAAGCTAGGGCATCCATGTCGCCTTTAAGAAAGAACATATTGTCCCCAGTCCACGTGAAAGTCTAATGTTAAAAGAATGAAAAAACAACAGCCAAACACAGTGATTATGTGAAATTACGACCCCCAGGGAAAAAATGGCCGGGGGTGGGAGGGGAGTAAAGCAACGTCAATGGTTTTTGTTTCAGAGAGTGCTATGGATAATACTTTATAAGCAGGACCTGCTACAAAACGTCGCAGCGTGAGCCTCCTATGCCTTCTTCCAGGATATCCATACTATTCCTGCATTGAAGGTTGGACTAGATGACCCTCAGGAACCCTATCTATGAGTCTATTATTCACCCTTCCCAGGTTTCTTGATTTTTCCTCAAAGAGACAGAGAGGTTTTCAGTTAAGATTTACTCATAGTAGACCCATAAAAATTAACGGACATAACTTGTCACATTCATTAATTTCAGTGGGTCAATTCTAAGTAAAACTTAGCTGAATGCCACCCTGAAATTTGGCATTCCATGGCCACTGAGTATGTTTAAGTCCTCTACAGAAAATGAATTTCATAACTGAGAAGTCACTGTTACATATGCTCACTGAAGCAGACTCTCTGAGCTAGATCTTAAGGTCCTTTAAGTAATAATTCCCTTCCAAGTCATTCAGGGGCTTATGGGCAATAACTGAAGTCAATTATTAGTATAGAATATTATATGCACACTCATACCAGGTTCATCTTATTTTAAGAAGATGACACATAATCTTGCAGTTCAATGACATTCCATCTTAGGGCAATTTTTTAAAGAACTGCTTTATTAGAGTGAAGTCCACAGACAAATAAAGCAAAACATTAAAATTACAATCAAAAGGAGAAGTTATAGAAAGCTGACAAAAACTTAACTCTACATATTCTCTGAGGGGGGCTTTTAAGATAAATATCAACTTAAAAGCATAAAATTCACATGTTAATTATGCAGTATTGTATCAACCAACCTCTTTTAGTCCTTACCTCAAAATCTGGACAAAAAGTAAAAAGAAAGGTTTCTCCAGTGCCATAAAAACCATCACTCACTTTAAAGGGTTCGGAAGCTAGTGCCCCAAAGATCTAGAAAAATAATAATTAAAATGATCTGGTGTTCATGAGATTTCTTTCCTTAATATATCTGTAAGCAGTACAATTAGAACTCTGATACGGTTTTCCTTCATGTCCAGATTAAATTAGATCCCTCCACTAATTTCTCTTCAGATCAAATGAATTTACTTCTCCTTACTTACAACGCTGAGCTAATATTAATTATCTTCCGGAAGGTATTTAATGTAACTATTTTTACAAGACAATTCCGGATGGCAGTTTGCTTAGGAACCAGAGAATCAACTCAGGAAACACAAAAAGAGGTACTAATTGGTGCAAAAATAATAGCAGTGACTGACTGCCATTGTTAATGTCTGTGATGATTAGCCAATTTGGGACAGCAGTTATCAGAGTAGGATCACTGCAACGAATTTAGCCTGCTTTCAGCAGGCATGCTGATTCAGTATGCCTCTTATACAAGCTTCCTGAAAACACAATAGAACAATCTTGAGCCTTGTCCTGCTCAACTGAGCTCCACCCTTCCTCCTCCACCTCACTACCTCTGCTTTCCTATTCTGCTACAGTACAAGACATGCTGCTGTTTTATTGGCTCAGAGCAAGAAATGTGCAGCTGCCAAAACGCAACACCATAAAATGCAACTCTGGGGTGCTATCTATCTCCTGTGGCCCTGTATAACTCTTCTCAGGAGAATGAAGGAAAGCAGAAGCAGTAATCATAGCACACCTGTGTTTTTCCCTAAGGACCGAAATTAGAGGTGCAGAAGTGCTTTTACAGCCCAACATTCACCTTGTGCTTGAGAAGAGCATTGTGAACCACAGAGATCTGTATTTCCAAATCAGGAAAAAACAAAACCTAGTGACATTAGTAAAGTTAGTTCTGATGTTTTGCTGCAAATGGCCAAGGCATGTACTATGGCACATTAAAAAGCCACTATATAGATACAATATACACCTAGGTCTTAAGGTTTGGGGCTCTATGTGGTTGTAACACAAGAGTCTTCTTTTAGCACCCTTTTTTTAAAAAAAAAAATTGTGGCAGATGAAATTGACACCTAAGTACTTTCATAGACAAAATACTACTTCCTACAGCACAATAAATTTGCCAGCCTTTAAAGGGCCACAGGATCCCAATACCAAAAAAATCTTGCTGTATGTCATATTCCCCCTATCTAGAGTAGTCACATGTAAGCCAGCCTCTGCCTGTTGAGACTTCTGAAGTTTCTCCAGAGACAGGAAAAAGAAGATAGAAAGGATTGCAGAAACACACGCAAACAACAGCTTCTGGCTACTTTTCTCCAGCCCCCTGCTCCATTAAAGTTAAGCAGAGAAACAATACTCAGCACTGGCTCATTGCTCCTCTCCTGTGATTAATGTAAAATGAAGCTACGCTATACGATGGCTAATTCAAGAGGTTTTAAACTTTGGGGTTTGTTTGATGGGGGAGAGAGGGGAAGAATAGTGTTCATTGTTTCCTTACCTGTCCATCACTGTCTTTGATTACCATTAGTACTGGTGTGTCCAGCCCCATCATGGTTCTGTACAGGGTCTTCAAGCTCATGCCATGCTTTGCAGTACTGTAGACAAGGGTCCATGGATACCCAATAGTTCGTGGTGGAAGATGTTTTGTGAGCTAATAAAAAACACAGATGCAAATAATGCATGCATACTGAATATACTGGATTAATTATTTTTTTAAAATAATAATAATAATAAATCTTTAGGATGAGACACTTCAGACACATATGACCTATCTTCCTTCTGCTAGACTTCTGTA